AGGGGCGCTGGGGGGGCGCGGGGGCCCGCGGGGGGGGCTGGGAGCCCAGCAGCATTCCCGGCTGGCCGTAGGGGTAGGGCGGCAGCCGCTGCTCCGCCGGCAGCTTGCTGGTGTCCAGGGGGACGCCCTGCAGACAGAGGGGACAGAGCGGGTCAGCACGGCCCCCCCAGGGCGGGGGGCTCCCCCAGCCCCCCCGGCACTGGCAGCCATCCAGCCCTGAGAGCCCCGAATCGGCCACGGCTGCGCCCGGAGCCAGCGCGGGCCGGGGTCCCCTGGGAGGGGAGGGGGCCTGGCACGGACACGGGGGTCCCCCCCACCGGCCCTGAGAACGGGGTGGGGGTGAGGGGGGCCCTGGGGTGTGGGTGAGATGAGGATGGAAACGAGACGAGAACTGAAGGGCAGGAGGAGGGGAAGGACAGGAGGACGAGGATGAGGAGGGTGAGGACAAGGAGGATGAAGACAAAGAAGAGGACAAAGATGAGGTCCAAGACAAGGACAAGGATGGGGAAGAGGAGAAAGAGAAGGAAGGAAAAGAAGAGAAAGAGAAGGAACGCAAGAAGGATGAGGAGGAAGAGGATGAGGAGGAAGGAGGAGAAGGAAGGGGAAAGGAAGAGAAGGGGGACGAGGAAGAGGCCGAGGAAGAGGGGAAAGAGAAGGAAGAAAAAGAAGAGAAAGAGAAGGAGGAGGATGGGGAAGAGGATGAGGATGAGGAGAAGGAAGGGGAAAGGAAGAGAAGGGGGATGAGGAAGAGGCTGAGGAAGAGGAGAAATATAAGGAAGAAAAAGAAGAGAAAGAGAAGGAAGACAAGAAGGACGAGAAGGAGGAGGATGGGGAAGAGAATGAGAAGGAAGGAGGAGGAGAAGGAAGGGGAAAGGAAGAGAAGGGGGATGACGAGGAGGCCAAGGAAGAGGAGAAAGAGAAGGATGAAAAAGAAGAGAAAGATGAGGAGGAGGGTGGGGAAGAGGATGAGGAGGAAGGAGGAGGAGAAGGACGGGGAAAGGAAGAGAAGGGGGCCGAGGAAGAGGCCGAGGAAGAGGAGAAAGATAAGGAAGAAAAAGAAGAGAAAGAGAAAGATGAGGAGGAGGATGGGGAAGGGGAGGAGGAGAAGGACGGGGAAAGGAAGAGAAGGGGGCCGAGGAAGAGGCCGAGGAAGAGGAGGAGGCGGCGGCGCTGGAGCGTGGGGACGATGCGTACCTGGGTGATGGAGGACAATGTGGGTGACATTGTTGGTGAGAACTGTTTGGGGTGCTGCCGTCTGCAGTCGCCGGCCACGGGCAGGGACAGGGGGCTGAGCGGGACGCGCCGGCGGGGCGAGGTGGCCGCGAAGGAGCCGCCCAGCCCCGAGGGCAGGCTGGGGTTGCTGGGCGAGGACTGCAGCGGCTGGCTGCGGGGGGACGTGGGCAGCGAGGGGTTGGAGAGCGAGGAGGACAGGGAGGAAGGCAGGGACTGGTTGGAGAGGGAGGAGGGGATGGAGGAGCTGCTGTGGGAGGACTGGAGCGAGGGGTTGCTGAGGGAGGCCTGCAGGGAGGGGCTGCGCAGGGAGGCCTGCAGGTTGGGGTTGCTCAGGGAGGACTGCAGGGACGGGTTACTCAGGGAGCTCTGCAGAGGTGAGGGGAGTCCTGTGGGGATAAAAACAGAGAGCACCGTTACCCCGGCACGGCCCCGAGCCCCGGGACGGCCCGGGCGGGGCTCCCGGGGCACGGGGGGGATGGAGGGGGAACAGAGCGGCCACAGCGATGGAGACGGACACAGGGACGGACACACACCCCGGGCAGGGGGACGGGGGGGAGATGGGCTCCTCCCAGCCCCCTGTCACCATCAGACCCCAGGAATGAGAGCTGCGCTCCCCCCGGGCCCCCACAACAACTTTGGACCCCATAGGGCAACAGGGCGGGAGCTGGGCTCCCCCCACACACCCACAGCACCCCCAAATCCACCAAACCCCATCCCCTCCCCCAGACTGGGAATCCTGGAGCCACCCCAGGTCACCTCCTGGGGGTGGGGGGTCTTTGTGTCCCCCCACCTTTGCTGAGCTGCCCGTGTCCCCCACAGCAGTGCCCGGCCTCGGGGTGCTCTGTGCCCCCCCGGGGCGGGGCGGGGGTCCCGGCTCACCTGGGGGGTCGTAGCCCAGCCCCACGCCGCCGGTGCCGCTGATGCCCAGGTGGGTCATGGTGGTGGCCAGGTTGGAGGTGCTGCTGCCCCCGCTCAGGGGGGGGTACGGGGCCTCCTCGGGGTCCAGGGGGGTGGGCAGGGGGGACGGGAAGTGCAGCGTGGTCAGGTCGGGCAGGGACCCCCCCGTGTTGAGGGCCGAGGGCATGAGGGGCACGTTGGCAGCTTGATCCGGGGATGGGAATATGCTGGGGAGGGGGCAGAGGCAGGATGAGGGCAGGAGCGGGGCTGCCTCCCCCCGCAGCCCGTGCCCAGTGCCCCCTCCCCATGCCAGCCCCTCCCAGCCCCTCTCTGGGAGCCCCCTCCCCATGCCAGCCCCTCTCTGGGAGCCCCCTCCCCATGCCAGCCCCTCTCTGGGAGCCCCCTCCCCATGCCAGCCCCTCTCTGGGAGCCCCCTCCCCATGCCAGCCCCTCTCTGGGAGCCCCCTCCCCATGCCAGCCCCTCTCTGGGAGCCCCCTCCCCATGCCAGCCCCTCTCTGGGAGCCCCCTCCCCATGCCAGCCCCTCTCTGGGAGCCCCCTCCCCATGCCAGCCCCTCTCTGGGAGCCCCCTCCCCATGCCAGCCCCTCTCTGGGAGCCCCCTCCCCATGCCAGCCCCTCTCTGGGAGCCCCCTCCCCATGCCAGCCCCTCTCTGGGAGCTCCCAGCCCCTCCCAGCCCCTCTCTGGGAGCCCCCTCCCCAGCCCAGCACTCACTGGATTCCCGGGACCTCGCAGGAGCGCGGCCGGGCCGAGGAGGACGAGAGCTGTGGGATCAAAGCAGGGCAATGAGGCCAGGCCAGGCCACAGGGGTGGGGACAGCAAGTGGGGGACACAGGGGGACACAGGGGGACATCCCCACCCACCTTCTTGGTGTCCCAGGGCTTCAGCGAGTGCTTGTTGTCATCGAAGTTCTCTTCGATGGGAGGCACTTGGAAAAGAAACACTGGGAAGGGGACAGGGGGTCAGGGGGAGGAGGGGGCACACAGGGTGCACATGAGACCCCCCCAGGGACAGAGGGGACCTGGGGACACACAGGGGTGACACCAGAGCCCCCCCAGCACAGAGGGGACCTGGGGGCACGGCCGGGTGCCACGCTCACCTTTGCTGTCCGAGTCCCCGTCCAGGAAACCTGCGGGGCAGCAGGAGGGTCAGGGGAGCCCCGAGGGGAGGGGGCTGCCCTGGGAGCCCCCAGGGGGGCGTGGGGAGCTCACCAGCACGGCGGCCGGGGGGGGGTCCGGCCTGAGAGGGGCCCAGGTAGGCGTCCTGGGGCGCGGGGTTCATCACGCTCGTGTGCAGCGCCGAGTCCGAATTCGTCCTGGGAACGGGGAGAGCTGCCTGGACCCGGGCCCCCTCCCCACTGACAGCCCCCAGCCCAGCCCCTGCCCCCTCCTGCTGTTCCTGTGCCCCCTCCTCATGTGGGTGCCTCTCCCTGCGCCCCCTCCCCACGGGGGTCTCTCTCCCTGTGCCCCCAGACCTGCTCCCATCTCCTCCACCACCCCCTGGCATGGGGGGACAATGGGGACCCCCAGGGACCCTTTAGGGGCTGGGGGCACCCAGGGTGTTCCCAACGAGTTGTTCCAAGGCAGAGGAGGGCTGGGAAAAGGCCGCTGGGACGAGTGACAAAGAGGGACATTGTTCAGCTGTGGCACAGGGGGGCAAAGGGACCCCTCCAGCGGGGGGCCCTGAGGGGTCCCCAGGGCCACCTCCTCCCCAGGGGGGTCCCCAGGGCCACCTCCTCTGCAGGGGCTCCAAGGAAGGGCTGGAGCCTGGCTTGGGAACAGGGAGAACACGGAATCAATCCATCCATTACCTGTTGAGAGCTGAGGGCAGCCGGAATAAGTGTCCTTTTTCCATGGGGAAATTGCTCCAGGGCATGGTCCTGTGGAGGGACACGGTGGGACCAGGGGAGGCAGTGGGGTGGGCAACAAGGAGCCATGGGGGAGGCAGGGCACCCCTCAGTGACCCGTGACCCCATTCCCTGCCGTGGGAGGGCTGGGAACAGCAGGGACATGGGATGGGGACAGGGACATGGCTGCCACACCCCATACTGGAATACAGACATGCCAGGGACAGAGCTGGAGCTCAGACTTGTCACCTGTCCCTGTCCCTGGGAATTCCCCTCATCCAGACCCCTCTTCCTGGATGAAATCTGGAGACACTTTGCGGGACAATCCCAAAATCTGAAGGACAGGAGCTTCCCCCATCTTTCTCCCAGCAATTCCCTCTGCCCCATCCCAGATCCCAAGAACGGCGCCTGTGCCAGAGCCTCTTCCACCCCCAAACCTCCAGGATGGGAACAGGATGGGAACAGGATGGGGACAGGCACGCAGGACCCAGGGAAAGCAGGGAATCACCTCCTCCAGCTGGGACACTTTGTGGGACAATCCCAAAATCTGAGAGACAGGAGCTTCCCCCACCCCTCTCCCAGCAATTCCCTCTGCCCCATCCCAGATCCCAAGAACGGCGCCTGTGCCAGAGCCTCTTCCACCCCCAAACCTCCAGGATGGGAACAGGATGGGAACAGGATGGGGACAGGCACGCAGGACCCAGGGAAAGCAGGGAATCACCTCCTCCAGCTGGGCTCAGGCGGAGGTGACAGGTACGTGGGTCCGTAGGGAGAGCTGTCGATGTGGGGGGCACGTTAAGGGCCACACGGAGAGCTGGGGGGTTCCCAAATCCCCTGGGCAGGGCTCGGGGGCAGCGCTGGGGACACGGGACAAAGGATATCTGCCGGACGTAGCGGCGCAGCGGGGACATCATCCTGCGCGGGTCCCGCTGCACGCGCTCCACCAGCCCGTGGTGCCGCGTGCTCCGCGTGGAATCCAGCGGCGACGGGCCCTGAGGGGAGGCAGAGGGGCTCAGCACCGCCTGCCCCTCGAGCGCGGGTGAAGGGGTGGAGGAGCAGCCCCTCCAGCCCGCCCCAGGGGCTGCCAGGCCCCGTGGAGTCACCTGGAAGTCGGGAGCGCCGGTGCCGAGCTGGTTGACGTTGGGCAGGGAGCCGCTGTAGAAGGGGCCCCGGCTGTGGGCCAGCCGCAGCTTCTGCGCCTGCAGCTGGGGGGACACGGCGGGGGGACGCGTCACGGGGGGCTGGGGGTGTGCAGCGCCCCCCAAACCGCCCCCTGGGACAGCCAGGCTCCTTCTGCCACTCAGCAGGGGGACGCGGCGGATCCGGCCCCTCGGCACGCAGGGCGGGATGGACGAGGGGATCCCTGTCCCGCAGTCCTGGATCACAGCCTGAGCCCGGCTCCTCCTGTCCCAGACAGGCTCTGGGGTCACGGATCCAGAGGGATTTTCCGCCTCACCCACGCCAAGGCCACCCCGGAGATTCCAGGCCCTCAAGGCCGGGGGAAGGAGCCACAGCAAAGCACGGCAGGAGATAACGGGATCCCAAAAGCAGCCGGGATTCCCGGGATTCCCGGGACAGGGAATGGCCCCCAGCACCCTCCAGCAGCAGGGCACGGCCCAATCCCCCCATCCTGACGGAGCAGGGCTCCCCTGATCAACCCCACGGCGAGGAAGGGCTTCCCTGCTCCCAATTCCATAGGAGGGAGCAATTCCCTGGGATAATCCCACAGGAATCCCCTTTCCCCTGGAGCTGGGGGTCCCTGGGTAGATCCACTGTTCCTCAGTGCCTGGAGAAATCCCAGGCAAAGAGAAGCTGAAGCCCAAAAACCAGCTGAGAAACGGGAAACACCAAATTCCTGAGCGTAAAACCATGGGAATCCAGATCCAGAGGGAAAAACAAGGAAAACAACCCAAAAAAACCCAGGAGATTTAGGCAGCAGCTGGCGGGATTAGCGCTGGGGCTTAAGGTCTTGGGATGGAGCACGGAGCTCCGAGCCAGGATCCCTGCAGGAGCCCGGAACCCGCGAGCAGCCCCGAAAGAACCGGGAAAAACTCCGGGAACAACGAGCAAAGCTGGGGGGGCTGCGGATCCCACGGGTGGGGAACGGATGGGGCAGGGATGAGGGAAGGAATTCCCACGGGAGCCATCCCAGAGCGGGATCAGGGAGTGAATTCCCAGAGGAATGATTCCAGGCAGGGATGAGGGAAGGAATTCCCAGAGCGGGATCAGGGAGTGAATTCCCAGAGGAATGATTCCAGGCAGGGATGAGGGAAGGAATTCCCAGAGCGGGATCAGGGAGTGAATTCCCAGAGGAATGATTTTGGGCCGGGATGAGGGAAGGAATTCCCAGAGGAGCCATCCCAGAGCGGGATCAGGGGCTGAATTCCCGGAGGAATGATTCCAGGCAGGGATCGGGACGGCCCCCGCTGCACATTAACCAGCTGTTTGCTCTGCAAACACGGCCCCAAAATCCCTGGGGATGGAAGCACGGCACGGGATCCACCCCGCTCCTGAAGTCCCGAGGAAGGGACAGAGAGGTCCTGCCCGTCCCCAAACTCCCCGAGGATGTCCCTGTCGCTGTGCCAGTGACATCCCAGACCCCGCAGAGCCGGGAGCCACGGCGCTCTCCAAGCCAAGAATTCCCGGTTTTGAAAGCTCTGCTGGGTATTCCCTGGATTCTCCCGGGGATGGAGCAGCCCCCATGCCCTGCATGAGCCTCTGCCCGGATCCCACCCTCCTCATCCTCATCCTCCATCCCGCAGCTGGGCTGGGAAGGACCAAACTCCACCAAACCCCGGGATGGCAGACACGAAACCCCCGCAGGGTTCGGGAGGCAATTCCAGACCAGCTCCTCCCCAAGCACATCTGGAGCATTCCCGGCCTTCCCGATCCCCTCGGGGCCAGCCATTCCCGGAGCTGGGGAGCGGGATTGATCCCGGATCCGCCATCCCGGGGCAGCTCCCGGCCTTTCCCGGCTCCAAACCCGGCCCGAGCATCCCCCGGGATGCCGAGGGTCCCCGGGACAGGGACAGAGCCCGGAGCTCCCCCGGGGCGGGATCCGGGCCATCAGGGCTCCTTCTCCCCCGCCAATTCCGGGAGCTGCGCTGGGACACGCCGGGATCCACCCGGACCCTCCCCACAAACCCCCTCCCCAAAATCCTCACAGCCCCCTCCAACACCCCCAAAGCCTCCCGAGCCCTCCCGGACCCTTCCGCCCCCAACCCAAATTCTTCACAGCACCCCTCGAGCCCTCAAACTCCCCCCCAGCATCCGCTCCGCCGCCGCCGCCGCGCGCGGCACGCCGGGAGCTGTAGTTCAGCAGGCAGGGCCAACAGCGGGGTGTGATGGCTGTCTGGACTACAACTCCCAGCGGTCTGTGCGGGCGCTACGCAGGGAGGGTTGGGAAATGGAGGCGCCGGGTTACGAAGTACTGGGGGTGAGGGAGGTGAGGACTACAAGTCCCGGAGAGCAGCGCGGGGCGGAGTCGGGGGCGTGGCCCCTGGAAGGGGCGTGGCCCGCGGCCGTGAGGGGAATGGGGGGACGGGGATGGCGGGGCTCAGAAATGGGGGGCTCTGGGGGGCACAGCGGGGCCGCCCCCGCCCCAAGCCTGGGAGCAGAGCAGACACCCCCCCACACCCAAAACTGGGGGTACCAGACACCCCCAGCCCATCTATCCCGCGGGTCACCGCGACACACCCCAAATTCCATCCCACCCTCCCCAGGCACAGGCAGCCATTTGGGGTTCAGTCCTTTATTTGCTTCATCCAACACCCCCAAATCCGGGGGAGTCCGTAAGGGCACTTGTGGTTATGGGGGGGGGACACTCACCCCCTCCCAGGGTCCTTGGGGGGGGGGGTCACAGCACCAATCCCTTGTGCAGGTGGGGAAACTGAGGCACGGCGCTGCGAGAGGCACTTTGGCACTTCGGAACGGGGGGCGCAGGGTGGGACACGAATAATCCCAGGAGCGAGAATGGGGGGGATCCCAGGCCTGGCGGGGTCTGCCCTTGGGAAAGAGGACAGTTTAGACAGGGGAAACTGAGGCACGGCGATGGAAACTGAGGCACGGCGATGGAGACTGAGGCACGGCGATGCGAGAGGCACTTTGGCACTTCGGACAGGACGACGCGAATCCCACGGGATCCTCCAGGCCGGGCCACCCTCACCCCTTGACGAAGAGGATGGCGCTGACCAAGGCGAAGCCGCCGAGGATCAGGATGACCTTGGGGATGCGGTTCCCGGGCGCGCCCAGCTCCTGCGGCAGAATCTCCAGGAAGGTGACGAAGAGGAAGGTGCCGGCCGCCAGCCCCTCCAGCACGGCCCGGCACAGGCGCTGCCGCGGCCCCGCGCCCGCCGCCAGGGCCGTGCCCACGCCAACACAGTCATGGCAAAGTCAGTTAAGATGTCATAGCTGTCGCTATGAGAGAATGAAATCAAGTCAAGGAGGGAATTTTGGGGGTGCTGATGCTGTGTTGTTGTTGGGTTGTGTTTTGTTGATTTTATTGTAACTGGGAAAACTGAAGACTTTAGAATAACCAAAACATGATTTATGTGGAAATAGCAGATCTTGTAATTTCTAAAATGCTTCCAGAGCATGCAGCTGAACTCAGCGCCGCGCCGGCCCCGGGAGCCGCCGGGGCCGAGGCCTGGATGGAGGCGCCGGGCAGCAGCGCCCGCGACTCCTCCTCGGGGGGCTCGGGCAGCTCGCGCTGCGCCAGCGTCGCCTGCTCCAGCACCAGCACCAGGAAGAAGCCCATGGCCAGGATGAACTGCGGCAGCGGGAACTGCAGCTGCGGGCAAGGGGGCAGTGCCAAGGGGAAGCTGCGGGCACGGCGGGAGCTCTGCGCGCGTCACGCGGGGCTCGAGGGGCTCCCGAGGACGGTCACCACCCCCAGGGACCGTGTCACCACCCCCAGGGATGGTGTCACTCTCTCCAGGGACGGTGTCACCATTCCGGCTGCTCCGCTGGCACCCGTCTGGCCCTGCTGTCCCTGTCCCCTGCTGTCCCTTCTCCGTTGTCCCAGCCACCCTGTCCTTCCCCATTCTCAATGTCTTCAGTGTCCCATCCTCACTGTGTCCCCTGCGCTGTCCGTGCTCTGTCCTTGTCCCTTTGTCATTGTCCCCCTTCTGTCCTTGTCCCTTTGTCATTGTCCCCCCTGCACTGTCCCCACCCCAGCCACCCCCTCCCCACCAGCCCCTTTCCCAATCCCAGGGACACTCGTGGGGACAGGGACAGGGACTCTGTGGGGACAGGGACACCCTTAGGGACAGGGACCCCGTGGGGACAGGGACAGGCCACCCTGGGGACAGGGACACTGTGGGGACAGGCCCCCCTGGGGACAGGCCCAGCGCCGGTGCCGGGGGTCTCACCGTGACGCGCAGCCCCTCCAGCGCGGCGGCGATGCTGCCCAGGTAGTCGGGCAGGAGGTCGAGCAGGAAGGTGCCCATGAAAACCCCGCCCGAGAAGCAGCTCACCAGGCTGAGCACGGGGCTGCGGGGCTCTGGGGGAGAGGGGGGGCTGAGACCCCAAAGAGACCCCCCCCAGCAGCCCTGCACCCTGACAGGCCCCTTGGGGACAGCCCTGAGGTGGGGACAGCCCGGTCCAGACCCTCGGGACACCCCTGGCAACCCTGAGACCCCCCAACTCCACGATCCCGCCTCCACCTCAGACTCCCCCGACCCCACAAAAACACCCAAAACCCCCGAGACCCCCTCAAACCCCTGAGACCCCCCGACCTCTCCAGACACCCCAGACCTCCTCAGACCCCTCCAGACCCCCCAAACCCCTGAGACCGCGCGCAGCGCCGCGCCGGCCCCGGGAGCCGCCGGGGCCGAGGCCTGGATGGAGGCGCCGGGCAGCAGCGCCCGCGACTCCTCCTCGGGGGGCTCGGGCAGCTCGCGCTGCGCCAGCGTCGCCTGCTCCAGCACCAGCACCAGGAAGAAGCCCATGGCCAGGATGAACTGCGGCAGCGGGAACTGCAGCTGCGGGCAAGGGGGCAGTGCCAAGGGGAAGCTGCGGGCACGGCGGGAGCTCTGCGCGCGTCACGCGGGGCTCGAGGGGCTCCCGAGGACGGTCACCACCCCCAGGGACCGTGTCACCACCCCCAGGGATGGTGTCACTCTCTCCAGGGACGGTGTCACCATTCCGGCTGCTCCGCTGGCACCCGTCTGGCCCTGCTGTCCCTGTCCCCTGCTGTCCCTTCTCCGTTGTCCCAGCCACCCTGTCCTTCCCCATTCTCAATGTCTTCAGTGTCCCATCCTCACTGTGTCCCCTGCGCTGTCTGTGCTCTGTCCTTGTCCCTTTGTCATTGTCCCCCCTGCACTGTCCCCATCCCAGCCACCCCCTCCCCACCAGCCCCTTTCCCAATCCCAGGGACACTCGTGGGGACAGGGACAGGGACTCTGTGGGGACAGGGACACCCTTAGGGACAGGGACCCCGTGGGGACAGGGACAGGCCCCCCTGGGGACAGGGACACTGTGGGGACAGGCCCCCCTGGGGACAGGCCCAGCGCCGGTGCCGGGGGTCTCACCGTGACGCGCAGCCCCTCCAGCGCGGCGGCGATGCTGCCCAGGTAGTCGGGCAGGAGGTCGAGCAGGAAGGTGCCCATGAAAACCCCGCCCGAGAAGCAGCTCACCAGGCTGAGCACGGGGCTGCGGGGCTCTGGGGGAAAGGGGGGGCTGAGACCCCAAAGAGACCCCCCCCAGCAGCCCTGCACCCTGACAGGCCCCTTGGGGACAGCCCTGAGGTGGGGACAGCCCGGTCCAGACCCTCGGGACACCCCTGGCAACCCTGAGACCCCCCAACTCCACGATCCCGCCTCCACCTCAGACTCCCCCGACCCCACAAAAACACCCAAAACCCCCGAGACCCCCTCAAACCCCTGAGACCCCCCGCTCTGGGGGAAAGGGGGGGCTGAGACCCCAAAGAGACCCCCCCCAGCAGCCCTGCACCCTGACAGGCCCCTTGGGGACAGCCCTGAGGTGGGGACAGCCCGGTCCAGACCCTCGGGACACCCCCGGCAACCCTGAGACCCCCCCAACTCCACGATCCTGCCTCCACCTCAGACTCCCCCGACTCCACAAAAACACCCAAAACCCCTGAGACCCCCTCAAACCCCTGAGACCCCCCGTCCAGGCCCCTCAGACCCCCCAGAACTCCCAACACCTGAGACCCCCCGAAACCCCCCAGCCCCCCCAGCCCCCCATGCCCGGTACCGGGGGGCCGTCGGAAGCACCAGAGGGGCGCGAGGCCGCAGGCGAGGGGCAGCAGCAGCAGCAGCACCAGCGAGCCCAGCTTCACGGCCAGCCCGGGCGGGGGCTGCGCGGCCACCGCGGGGCTCCAGGCCAGCGCGGCCCCGGTGCCGGTGTCCGCCGCCATCCCGGAGCTCAGCGCCCGCCGCCGGGAGAGCTCCGAGCCGCGCTGCGCATCCCCGGCGAGCGGGGCTGGAACGGGACGGGCGCTCAGAGCCGCCCCCGCCGGTGCCGGTGACTCACCCGGGGGCCCCGGGACACGGGGAGGGACCGGAGTGCGAACAAGGACCGGAGTGGAGGGGCGGGATGGGGAACCGGGCACCGCAGAGCGCGTCAGGGGTCAAGGACCGCGAGCGGGGACCAGGACGGCAACCGGGATCGTGAACCGGGAGTGGGACCGCGATCAAGAACCGGGATTGCGAACCGGGACCGAGGAACGGGACCGAGGGGAACCGGGAAATACGGACCGGGATGGGCTTTTCCGGGACTGGGAGCGGAGCCGGGGCCGAGGAAAGGGGACGGGGACAGGGACAGGGTCAGGGACGGGACGGGGACGGGACGGGACCCCCGCTGCCCCGCACTCACCGCCCGCCGCGTCCCGGGAACTCCGGGGGGCGGCACCGCCCCGCCGGCCCAGCCAATGGCCACGCGGAATCCCCTGTGGCGTCACTGACTGACGTGCGGCTGAGCCAATAGGGAGCGAGCGGAGCCCGCGCGGCCCCGCGGCCCCGGGAGCGCGCACGTGTCCGCCGGGCCGGGCGGGGCGGGGGGATCCTCCCGGTGCCCGCCGCGCCGCTCCCCGGCCCCCGTTACCGGCAGCACCCCCCCGTTCCTGCCCTCCCGGACCCCGTTACCGGGGGCATCCCCCCGTTCCTCCACCCCGAGCTCCGTTACCGGGAGCGCGGGGGGCACCGGCTCCGGTACGGAGCCACCGGAGCCGCCCCGGTTCCCCCGAGAGACCCTCCCGGTAGCGGGGCAGCCGCAGCCCCCCGCTGCCCCCGGTCGGAGCCCCGAGCCCCGCGGGGGGAGGGACGATCCCGGCCCTTCCCGGCACGGGGCGGGACTTGGCCGCGTTCCCCGGGATCCCGGAGATCCTGGTGCCCAGCGCCGGCACCGGGCGGAGGCGGCGGCACCACCGGGGGACCCCGAGGAGGGGGCGCGGGGGTTTATCCCCGGGGGTCGGGGCTCGGGGGGTCCCGCGGGGGGGTCCCCAGGGAACCCCAATGGAGGCACCGGAGCTCCCGGAGCCGGACGGGCTCTTCCCGGATCCCGCCGCGCTGCCCGTGCCGGTTCTGAGCTTCCAGACCTTGACGCTCCCGGAGAATGATGTGAGTGGGGGTGGGAGGGGCGCGGGACCCCCGCGGGGACAGCGGCACGTCCCGGGGGTCCCGTCACGGTGTCCCCGCAGGGCAGCGGAGCCGAGGAGCTGCTGGGGCTGACGGTGAACCCCGACATCGCCTGCGGGCTCGGCAGCGGCCCGGAGCCCCCCCGGCCCGAGGGGGCCCCCCCGGTGCTGCTGGAGGTGGTCTGCGACCTCAGCACGCCCCTGATCCCCTCGCTGTTCCCCGGCATCCAGCTGGCCCCGAGCCCCGAGCCCCGGCCCGCGGTGAGTCCCGGCACTCTCAGCTCACCCTGGACCCCCCAATTCACCCCCATACCCCCCCACATTCCCCCCCGG